CCAGAGAAGCCCCTTGGAAGAAGTGCAAGGAACCAGCCTGGCTCTTGTCTTTCACAGTACAGCGGACAAGCACGTCTCAGCGCCCAAGTGCAGGGTTGCCTGCCCCAAAGCCGCCAGGGGAGCTGCGCAAAAACGTGGGCACATGCGGGAGGAAGGGCGTGCCCTGGGCTTTGTCACCCTTCATAATCGAGTAGGTGGTGAGGAAACCGAATGTTAGTATAGAAGTTGGCTTTGTGTTGAGGGAGCACAGAGCACTTCTCAAGGAGAGAACTGAAATGTTAAAAAGCCAATAACAAAACAAGTTTCCTTACTACAATTGCTGTTAATGGAAAAGGCGCCTAACCTGCTGAATTAAATCGTTCAAAAGTGCCTGTTCATCACTGGGAGTTCCTTCTCTACAAGGAGGGGAAAGAAAATGAAAACAAAAAAACAAGTTGGAGAAGCCCCCTTAACTGGCCCCGGCAGTGTGTTGGAGGCCCCAGCCTGGACAAGGAGCTTTCCACCCTCCCAGCCTCTAGCCGGAGAGGAGGCTAAAAGAGCCAAAGAAAAACCAAACCAAAACAACGACAAAACGTTTGGAATCTCAGGGGGGAAAGTCGGAGTGGGTCTCGGGATCTGTGCCACGCAGGGCACGACACTGTAGTCCACTGGGCTGGAGGCCGGGGCCTGGCCGGAGCAGCAAGGCCGGTGCCTCTGGTCCGGCTGGGGAGCGAAAGCCCACAGCTCCCCCTCTCCAGGCGCCCAAGGACCCTCAAGGCGCGGGGCTCACACTTGAAGCCTGGGAACGCGCTGACAGGAAACCCACTTCCTCCTAAGCAGTTTCTTGCTCGCCGGATGAGAGGCGCCCAATTGAAGCAGAATGATCCTCATCTGCTAATATCCAGCGTGGCCACAAAGCGACTGGCCATTTACGCCGCCACTTTAAACAAAGATATTTGGTTATTCCCGGGGAAGCAAGTGCACTTTTGCATGGCTGAGCTCCGGGAGGAGGCGAGCCTCAGCCCAGCCTCCCGCCTGCTGGGCTGCTCGCGCCTCGGGATTCGCCCCCTCCCGGCCAGCTGGTCCCGCCGGGGTTCAGGCTCAGTTCCGCCCGGCAACAGGCGGGCGGGTACTTACGACGCTCCCTGCCCGCGCCCTCTCTGAAGCATCAGAGGGGAAAACAGCGTGGCCCTGGGCTCGGGTGCTGGGGCTGTGATGTCCTCGGAAAGTCAGCTCCAGCCCCAGAACCCCGCGTGTCCGGGCGATGGGCGAGGGTCGGGGACACCAGGTTTGTTCGAGGTGGGGCAACTTCAGCAATGGCCCTTCGGGTTAGTGCCCCCCAGCTTCCCAGCTCTGGCGGCCAGTAGTGTGCTTGTCTTGGCCAGGAATGGGGGTGGGGAAAGGGAGCC